CAGATCTGTGGAGAGGTGCTCTCTCTGGGGATCTAGCCCGTGTTAAGACAGGAGAGGCTGGCTGAGCTAACGAGCTGCTCCCTGCGCTGGCTCCAGAAGAAACATTCAGATGTGAACCAGTGGAGACATGAGTCAAGTATTTGCATAGTGTAATTGAAGAGATACACACGAGATAGTACTGCAGTGTACAGTGTGTGTTTGCTGTGAGCTCGTGGCTTTGAAGCACCCAGCTGTTCTGAGAGCCACAAAGACTGAGCAGTGATCAAGTCTAAACTGTATAGGGACATTAGTGTCATCAAGCAAATTAGGATTTGGGAAAATATCAAACTGTTGTTTTTCAGGCACTGTGATTATGATTCGTGTTTATTCATGTGTCACTAAATGTGTTTGACTGAGCCAAACAGAACACATGTTCTTCCCAATTACAATTCAGGCTAAAGCTAAAGCTAGACTAAACACAAAACTACTTCTAGTTTATACTCAGCCTTTTCTGCGTTCATTTCACTTCTCCGCGTCTCTCCACTGTGTTTTAACATCTCTTTATGTCATATGTTGGTTTGGTTTGATGTGTTATACACTGGAAATGACATATTTTGGACTCTGTCGAGTGCCGTGCACCAACAGGAAACTGCTCCTGCTAACAAGTTAGTTTTGTTTTGCCAAGCAGTCGGCTCATCATGGAAGTGTCCACCACTGGTGTTTTATCACTAGATCAAGAGCCTGTTCTGTGTACCTCCTAAAGCTAAACTGTACCGATCTGAAGAGAGCCAGAGTCCTTTGGAAGGCAGTACCCCCAGACCCCTCAAACTTCAGACAGAGGAAACACTTTAGGACCATACCAACCCAAAACCAAAGCAAAACTCATGGAAACTCGTGGAAACCAGGCTCCAGGCTCCAGTCCTCTTCTCTACTTGTGCTTCCCTGTGTGAAAGTGCCTCTGTAACTCATCCCATTCAAAGTGAGTTTCCCCTGAAGCACTGTTCCAACAGCTGAGCACCGCCCGTGCCTGCTCACTGCTCATGCTCATTATGAGAAATGAGAACAAGAGAGGACAAGGAGGAAGGAGATGGAGGGAGGAGAGGGATAGAGAGCGAAAGAGTAAGGGAAGCAGAGAGAGGACATGTTTAGGAAGGGGGGGGGAAGAGGACAGAGAGAGAGCAGGGGAAAGATAGAGGAAAGATAGAAAGGAACACTGAGCGGGAGAGAGGAGTACATGTTAGGGATGGGCATGATTAGTCGATTAATCGATAAGTTGATCGTTAAGAATTTCATCTATTACATTCATTTTAATCGACAAACCGAATGTAGGTTGTTGTGCGTAGCGTAGGGTGACCAAAAGTCTGTGTCCGGGGACAAATGGGGGTCCGGACATGTAGCTCTCTGAACTCAGAAGGAGCGAGCAGACACAGACAGTTGTTCAGTCTGTAACGTACCGAAGCGCACATGTGTATTTAACGATGACTTGGACAAGAAATTCCACGCTTTTCGTTCTGGTCGGGACAAGTGTGAGTCCATGTGCACAGTGTACAAAGCAGCACATATGTTTCGGTGTCCAGTGGGGAAAAGTTCACCAGGACAATGAAAACATGAAAAAGTTTTGAGTAGCTCAATGTCGATGACGAGTCCCCACCTCCCTCCCCCCGTACGGTGTCATGGTTTTGACAAACGCAAATCTGGTCACACTAACCTGTATTCACCTGAGTCATGTCTTTTAATCCAACAGAAGTTGACCACATCAGCACAAGAGCTGTTTTTTTCCTTCACTTAGTTTATGCAAATTAGTGATGCGGTTTTAAGTTTTGTTTCTGTGAGAGTTGCACAAAGCTGCATTAAACACATGATAATGTCAAACAGGCTGATGTGGCTCTAGAGTGGTTACGGTTTATATGTTGTAAAGTTGAATTTATTTATGCAGATTGGTGCAGATAGTAATAATAATAATGATCATTTTAATATAAAAAAGTTAATGATTAATTGATAATCGATCGTTAATTCTCCCGACGATCGATTAAGAAAATTGAATCAAATGCCCATCCCTAGTACATGTGGAGAGAGAGAAAGAGAGAGCAAACGTGAAGGAGAGATGGGGATATGGAAGGAGGGGGGAGCACAGGGAGAGAGTGAGGGAGAGCGGAAGGGAAACACCTATCAGCGTCTCTATTCCGATCTCCTCCCATGTGATTGAACTCCTGAGGAATGAGGAAACTCATTTGGACCGCTTGTGTTTGTGATCTTGTCCTTTTGGTCATCTCCGGACTGTAGGTGAAGGCCAGAGATCTAACCCAGGACTAAACCAGAGACCTCAAGCAAGAGCAGGGATGTAGATTGTAAATGTGGAGCTCTGTGTTTGGACTCAGCTCCTGCACCGATCCATCTGTCGATCTCACGCTCCACCCTCCCCTCACTGTGAACCAGACCCCGAGATACTTGATCTCCTCCACTCGAGGCAGGATCTCTCCACCCACTTGAAGCAGAGTCAACTTTATGAAATCATTTTTTTTGCAAAACCTCGTGACACTTGATACTTGTGGCTTTCCCCGAAATATATTAAAATGCAAACAATACTTTTACCTGTTATGTCTCTCACACTCACACTTTGACTTCGAGACAAACTTCTTACTTGTCATTCTCCTTGAATAGTTTGAGAATATAATCAAGTGACTGTGTGGGAGTGTTCCACCGTTTCAACAATGACTTTTAAACAAGAATTTAAATCACCACTTCGATAATGCCCTTGAAAATTGCATTAATGTTAAGCTGAATCGGAAAATGTGACTGTTTGAGCAGTTTGTCGTGGTTTATAGCCAGTTTAATCATGATTTAGGGTTTTTTGTGTGGCAGACATCAGGGTCAATTTGGGATCGTCATAGTTCATATTTGACACTTTACATTTTTAGGTTTAGGGGATTTTACTGTCTCTGTGATTTAATGGTGAAAATCTATTGTCTTAAAGTGTTTTTAGTGTCATCATGGTTTTGCAGTCAGTTGAAGTATATTCATTGGTATCCAGTTTAAAATTTTAAAATCCAAATCCTCTTTATTTTTGTAGCACATTTTACAAACAAAGCAGGTTCCAAAGTGCTGCACAGAGATCATAAAATGAAGACAACAAAAAAGTAACTTGCTAAAATTTGATCATACCAGTGCTAAAACAATACAACCTGTCAAAAATAAATTAAAGAATAAAAGACACAGAGGAGCACACCACTCACGCGGTGTTAAAAACCAGAAAAGCTCCTTTTTAGGACACAAGTAAAACCTATAGTCCAATGAGATTCATTTGGTCTTCTGATATTTTATGTTATTAGGTTCTTTTTTGAGACCAAGAGTTTTGTTTCATACCTGACAGTCGGTCTTCCTCAGAGTTCTTTACACGAAAAAAGGAGCACAGAACAGAGTGCGAGAAGGAAACAGCAAAGGCGTGCACACGAGCAACAAAACACAAAGCAGAACAGGGACAAATCAAATCGGCCATTTCTGACCATTGCAAAAGAGAAAACCACATTATGGACTGGGACGGCTGTCGAAATACAGAAATGTGCACAAAGGACTATAAACTGGGATGAGGGTTTTTTTACTCTCATACACCTGGGATACTGTCCTGAGGAAGTGGGACTGTAGATGGCGCTGTCATCTTGTCTCCACCGGTAGGAAGACGGCGCCAAAACCTGTTTAAATCAACTGACTGGATACATCACAGCAACATCACGTGACCACTCTGAGGAAGAGCACTAGTGAGCAGTCCAAACTGTCAGGTATGAAAAACAAACTCTTGGTCTGAAAAAAGAACCTAATAACATACAAGTAAAATCTGCGTGAGGTTTATTTTCGATTATTATTACCATATTTTCCGGGCTATTAGACGCGCTCTTAAGCTTCCAACCCCATGAAAAAATGATTGCGCGCCCCACATTCCAGAGCACCCTATACACGAATCCACTCGGGTGTCCCAGCACGACTTCAGTAAACTACAAAGCCGCACCACCCACAGAACACACAAACACACACGGAGCAGACAGCGACCGCACAGTGAAACACACCCACAGACACACTCATCACTCCACACCGACGAGGAACTGAAAAAGTGAGTGTAATGTGCCACTTCTAGACACAACTGAACAACTGAGTCACTGTGAACACACCGACAATCCGTTGGTCCCAGACAGCCCCCTCCCTACACGCCACAACTGAACAAAGCCCAGAGTCACCGTGAACGCCACAAACAAACAAAACCACTCACCCATCACACTGTTGTTTCCTTTAAAGTCCAGTGTGGTTTATTTGTGAAAAAAGTTCGAAAACAGACCATTTATTGACAGTGCACCTTATAATCCAGAACGCCTAATAGCACGGAAAATGCGGTACAGAAAATAAATATTTACTTTGTGTTATATCTATGTATTTAAGTTCTATATGCATGTTCTATGTACTACTGTTTGAATAAACATTTATTCATTCCAGACAATAAAAGTGTGTTTTAAGACGAGACTTAAAACACTCCACTGTGGGGCTGTTGGGACGTGGGGGGGCAGAGTGTTCCAGAGTTTGGGGCTGATCACAGAGAAGGTTCTGTCCTCCTGGTTTTAACTCTTGTTTTAATCCCCACTAGCTGGAGCTGACCGTAGGACCTCAGAGCGCACAGAAGGAGTAAATGTGAATGAGGTCTGACATGTACTGTGGTGCCAGAACATTCAAAGCTTTAAAAACTAACATTCAAATCTTAAAATTAACTCTAAAATGAACAGGAAGCCAGTGCAGCAATGATAAAATCAGGATAATGTGCTCATGTTTTTTGGTTCCAGTGAAAAAGCGCGCAGAAGAATTTTGTACCATCTGTAAGTGAGAAAATGCGGGAGGCTGATGCCAGAGAAAATTGCATTACAGTTTTACTATCATAACGACACTAATCTCAGCCGGAAAAGTTCCACAGTGCACCTTTCACGCCTGATGGTTTCCCGCTTGACTCTCACCTGTGGTCTGTTGTGTGTGTCTGGCCCCAGGCTGAGGAGCATGGAGCGGAGCCAGTCGGAGCTGCAGTCTGAGGCCTGCCAGCAGAGGGCGTGCACGGGGGAGGAGCAGAGGAGGAGGGAGGCCCAGGACTCACTGGTGCGCCGGCTGCAGAAGAGGCTGCTGCTCCTCACTAAGGTATGTCAGGGCTCGGGTCAGAAGAACGAGCTCTCATTCAGTTTAGCCTATTTAGTTTTTTTTTTTTTTTTTTAAGGGTCTATATTCGCAATTTTCTTATCTACGTTTTATAATGTAATTTCCTCATGGAGTTGTGTTTTGTTTCATTCACACATGTTTAACACACAAACCCTGCAGATTTAGAATAGAGGTGTGCAAAAATATTGAAATATTGATAAATCGTATCATTTAATGTGATGATAGTATCGATATCGTGTGCTGCTGTATTGATATATATCGGCAAGAGTATTTTGCATTATATAGGCATGTTCAAATTTTCTTTTTTTTTTTGATGATTAAAATGTTTGTGTTTCATATGAACTTTGCACAAGAAGTGGTTTAACAAACACTTTTATTATCATAGTCACAATTTAGCCCTTTGTTTTAAATTGAACCATATCGAACCGATTTGAAATATATCGTATCGGACCAAAAGTGCACTGTATCGAGATATGTATCGTATAGTGGCCTGTGTGTCAAAGTATGTATTGCATCGGAGTTCTTCTCTCAAACTGAAAACACTCTGTCCCACCTTGTGATGTCATGTGGTAACACAGGAAGTGCTCCACTGTGTTTTGAAATTACATACACCTTCAGTAGAATCATTTGGACCAGTTTAGTCCTGGATTTGCTGATCTCTACTGAACAAAAGGTAAAAGGAGACTGTAAGGAAACTTGAAAACTGCTGCTTCATGACATCAGAAGGTGGAACAGCACATTTTGAGCTGTGGAGATGTAGACAGACTAATGAAGGATTACTCAAACATGTGAATGAAACAAAACACAATTCTAGGTATGGTTTTAATGAAGTAACAACATTTTAAGATGTTTTAAAGCTCGCAAGAATTGTTGTGTAATATAGGACCTTGAATGCTTCCCTGAACATGACTTGCCTGTGTGGATGACAAACCTTCTAGTTCCAAACCTCAGCTTACACAGATGACCACACACAGACACATTTAGACTTTCATAAAGACGTACCAGGCTTTCCCCTTGTGGTATTTAGTATGTAACTAAACTCAAGCCACTCAAGCTCAAATGTAGGATAATAGAGGATTTCTCAGACATACATGAATCAATCAAATACAAAGCAAAAGAAATGTAATTCTGTCAACAGAGCAGGTGTTTCTCCACTCATCCAAGAGGCTTCTTCACTTCTGACTGGAGACTGCTGAGTCACTGCTTTATATCTGTCTGTGGGAGGAGCTAACCACACTCTAACTCACTCTTACTGAGTCTCCAGTCAGAAGTGAAGAGGCCTCTTGTATGAGCTGAGAATGGTCTTCACTCGAAAACTTTTGTCCAGGTGACAAAATTAGATCATCTTCTGCTGTGGATCCTACCTGGACGACTGAGGGATCACACAATCAAATACAACTCTGAGTAAAATAATGAGAAAACATTCACCTGGTTACAAGCTAATAGAAATCATAATATGACTCCTTTAATAAAATAACATGTCTGACCTACATGTGTGAGTGTCACAGGCCTGTTCCACTTGAAAATGCACTTTGCTTATTTTACACAAATGACACAATTGTATTTATTTTTTCTCTAGAAAAGAAAATGTCCCATCTACATGTTATCTTATCTTATTATGTAAACTTACACTTTAGACCTCTACAGTATGTTCTGTAAACATGTCTTTCCTATATTAGCCTGTCCCTTCAGGATTTTGCAGTGTTGCATTTGAAACTATTCCACAGAGACACATGTGGGTTATTCATGCAAACAGAAGGAGAAGTGTGTGTGTGTGTGTGTGTGTGGGGGGTTACCTGCCCGTCTGCCCCGGGGCTTGTGCCTCACACACGTTGGTGGTGTGATGCGGCTGGCAGAGTCATGACTGACACTGTAAAGTGTTTTTATTTAGGCTACAAGTCGCCCAAAAGCTCACATCAACTAAAAACAAGGCCCTTTCAAAATAAAACCCTCTGTATTGACAAGCTCCTGAAACCACCTTATTGTGAAAAGGTAACAAAGAGGGACAGCGATGTCCTAGGCATAAAATCTGCACTGACTTGAAACATACTTGTATACAGCACATGCAGTGTGTGGCCAAACATCTGACAGCCTACAACACACAACTGCATCCTCCTCCTGTTGGCTCATGAGCACAGGTGAGGGCAGGAGCAGAGATCTAAACCAGGACTAAACCAGAGTCCACAGGTGAGGGCAGGAGCAGAGATCTAAACCAGGACTAAACCAGAGTCCACAGGTGAGGGCAGGAGCAGAGATCTAAACCAGGACTAAACCAGAGTCCACAGGTGAGGGCAGGAGCAGAGTTTGAACAGTAAATGTGGAGCTTTGTGGTTGGACTCGGTGCCCTCATCACTGCAGACACTGCACTGATCCAACTGTCAGTCTCACACTCTGTCCTCCCCTCCGTGTGAACATGACCCTGACATACTTGAACTCCTCTACTGGAGGCAGGAACTCTCCACCTACCTGAAGCAGAGTCAACTTTATTAAATCATTTTTTTTGCAAAACCTTGTGACATCACCACGAATAACTGACTTTATAAGTTTTATAATCAGACAGACAGTACACACAGTTTCATTTTAACCACTGTACTGGAGCAGGACGCATTTGACTTTATTACATGAAACGAATCACACCAAATCGTATACTCCATAAGCACGTTTAAGCCATCTCTCTCTCTCTCTCTCCCTGCTCCTCCTCTCCCACACAGCCTCTCTGTCTCTCCTCACCCCTCTGCTTGGATGGCGCTCTTCCTCCTTCCTCTTCCTTCCTCCTCCTTCTTCTCCTTCTTCTCCTCCTCCTCCTCTTCCTCCCCCTCCTCCTCCTCCTCCTCTTGCAGCCTGCTTTGCTTTCTCCTCTGCTCCTCACTAGAGCTCTGGAGCTATTGATTTGTCAGCCAGTGTAATTCTCTGGGTCAACATGCTCCGGAGCTGAACACACAAATCAGTCTGGCCTCCTCCTCCTCTTCCTCTTCCTCCTCCTCCTCTGTACTCCCCCCAGCCTCCATGGTGCAGAGGCATGGTGCAGAGCCACTGGACTCCTGCAGTTTATCACCAGGAGCATAATGGGTGGACTAGAGCGTGTGGAGGAGCTGGGGTCTAAACAGCAGGGCTAGTTCAGGGCTATTATGCTGGCAGCAGTGGTTTCTCTAAAGATAATCCCGATCCATCACTGTGACGGCCACACATAAATAGCATGATGGAGCTTTTGGGACTGTCATTTAGGACGTCAGTAACTTTTCCAGGCACTATATGTTAACTGTGATTTAGTAAGGGGAAGTGCATATTATTTCTGCCTCTAAGCTGCTACTTCAGTGAGATTATACAGCGCGTGCTTCATGCCTCTTCTCCTAAAGGCTGTTGAATGGTAAAGTGCATTGCAAATTCACGTCTGGACATTTTCATCTAGGGGTGGGCGATATCTCGATATTTTAAATATATCAAGATATTTGGATATGGATTCTGACATATCATATATATTGATTATAATGCTCATATTCAGTTCTGCCTCTTCGCTTGTTTGTCTTCTCTGTGCTCTCAGTACCGCTATGAATGCTGAAAGTTGAAAGAAAATCTTCTAGCACCATGAAACTTTTCCACCATTTACAGTAGGGGTGCGTATTCGATTAAATTTTCTTAATCGATTGTCGGGAGAATTAATTATCGATTAATCATTAACGTTTTTTATATTAAAATGTATCATCATTATTATATCTGCACTTCTAATATGCATAAATAAATTCAATTTTACGACATATAAACCGTGACCACTCTAGAGCCACATCAGAACGTTTGAGATTATAAGATTTGCGCAAGTCTCACAGAAACGAAACTTAAACTGCAAGAAAAAAAACTGCTCTTGTGCGCTGATGCGGTTTAACTTCTGTCGAATTGAAGGACATGACTCAGTGGAATACAGGTTAGTGTGATCATATTTGCGTTTGTCAAAAGCAGGACACCGTACGGGGGGTGGGAGGTGGGGACTCGTGATCGACATTGAGCGACTCTCACCTGGCAAAACTTTTTCATGTTTTCGGTGTCCTGGTGAACTTTTTCCCACTGGACACCAAAACATATGTGCTGCTTTGTACACTGTGCACATGGACTCACACTTGTCCCGACCAGAACGAAAAGCGTGGAATACAAGTCATTGTTAAATACACATTTGTGCTTCGGCACGTTGCAGGCGGACTGACTGTTTGTGTCTCGCTCCTTCTGAGTGCAGAGAGACACATGTACAGATCCTTGTCTGGTCATGCTACGCACAGCAACCTGCATTCGGTTTGTCAATGAAAATTCTTAATGATCAATTATCGATTAATCAACTAATCTTGCCCATCCCGAATTTACAGACAAGACCATCAGCAGCACATCCTCATATTCCACCGAGTCGTGTCCTTTAGTCCGAAAGAAGCTGAATGGCATTAGCGGCAGGAGGAGTGCAGTGTTTATGCAAATGAGCCATGTGTTTTAAGTTTTGTTTTTGTAAAACGTAAACACATGTATTCTCAAACGGGCTGATGTGGCTCTAGAGTCGTTATGCTTTATATGGTGTAAAGTTTATTTATGCAGAAGATTTTAATCAATAATCTGCTGCAGTGTCACTTGTACAACAGTGTTTGGAGACATTGGGTTTGATCTGCAGTGGATTGTGGGAAACTTCATGGCTCCGTGCACTGGGGAGGAACATGGATCTATTAAAATAATGAACCTCCCGAGCTTCTTCTGCTAAAGGAGCTCATGGTTATGGTACGGTTAAAGAGTTAATGCAAAGATGAGCTTGAGTTGAGTTATTTTATTTATGAATGAAAAGAAGGAAATATGTATTAAGCCTATTTCTTTTATTTTACAGTTTAATTATTATTTATGTAATCAGGGATTTTTTGTAATCTTAAATGTGGTAGAAGCACATTGTTCCCACGTGAACTGCCTCTTGCATTTCAATAAAAAAAAGACTTTGTGGAATTTGGCATATTTGTTTT